AGAGTCCTTCTCCTTGGAGTGTCTCTCTGGAGACCCCTAATAGTTTCTCCAGCTAGGGAGGAAGGCCTGGGGGTCTGCGGCCCCTAGTCTTTGGGACCTACTGTGGGGGTGGAAAGAACACAGACTACCTGGGTTGACATGGAGGAGCTCTAAACAAATCACCCTAGCTATCTGGGCCCACTCTTGGTTGAGTGGGGGCGGGGTGACAATATGGCTTAAAGGATTGTTGAGAACCATTGAGTGAGGCATCACACCCATGTGTCTACTTTGGGGCCTGGTTTGTGTGAAGAGACCACGAACAACCCAGTTATTTTCACTCTGAGAGCGGGCATCTCCCCTTCCCTGACAGGGCCCAGGGCTTCAGCAGGCTTACCTCCTTTTCTGGTTGGGTACTGTGGGCATTGGCTGGGGGCACTCATCCTTGCAAGGGTAGAGGGAGGGGCGTGGTGCTGAACGGACAGCTCCTTTCACTCTGGGTTTTGAGAGGCACCCGTGTGTCTAGTGAGAACCAGGTTTCACCCCAGGGTGGCAGAACTACAGGGCAGGTGCGGGGACAAGAGGGTCTGAGGGCTTCACCTAAGTGCATAGGCCAAGAAAATGCTGCCTGCGGAAGCTCTACATCTGTGCTGGCCCAGTCATGAGTGTGGTGGTCAACCTCTCTACAGACTGGGCAAGTATTCATGAGAGGGAAAGGGGAGGAAGGAGGAAGTCCAGGGAGGGGCAGAGAGAGGTGAGAATCAGGAAGATACACAGTGACAAAGAAACAGTGAGACGCAAAGATACAGCGAGAGGTAGGGACAGATGGAGAGCCAGAAAGACAAAAGGAAGCAGAGACACAGATAGATGAGGCAGGGGAGACAGACAGAAATGCCAAGAAAGAGAAAAGGAGGGAGAGGGAGACAGAGACATGGTGGTTGAGGTGCAGGAACTCAGAGACAGAACAATGCAGGGCACCGGGGGAGGCGTGCCCAGGGGAAGAGAACTAACATCCAGGAGGGAGGAAGGGATGCGCAGTCAGAGATGTGGGACCCAAAGAGCATGATCCATGGGTTCCCAGAGAGGTGCCTTAAGGGAGTGATGGGGGCAGGGTGGGGGGAGGCCTGGGCTGCCAGGGAGGTGGGGCCAGAGGAGCGATGGGCTGGCGCCCGCTCAGCCTGGCCTCACGCCCACAGCATACAAGGAGAAGATGAAGGAGCTGTCAGTGCTGTCGCTCATCTGCTCCTGCTTCTACTCACAGCCGCACCCCAACACCGTCTACCAGTATGGGGGTGAGTGCCTGGCCCCTGACCTGCCACTGCCTGCTGCCACCTGATTTCACTGCCCCCCTCCCATGGCATCTGTGAACCCTTCTGGTTGACTGGCTTCTGGAGGAGGGTCCCTGGGGGAGGGGCCGGTTCTGGGGGCCCAGTCCTGGAGTCCCACGTGAGAAGCTTCACCCCTTCTCTCAGCCCTTGACTTGGATGTGTGCTCAGCCTCCCCCCTCCTCCCCCAGCCCTCCTGAAGCCCCCACCTGCTCTTGCCCTGCAGACATGGAGGTGAAACAGCTGGACAAGAGGGCCTCCGGCCAGAGCTTTGAGGTCATCCTCAAGTCCCCTTCCGACCTGTCCCCGGAGAGTCCCGTGCTCTCCTCCCCCCCCAAGAGGAAGGACACCTCCCTGGAAGAGCTGCAGAAGCGGCTGGAGGCAGCTGAGGAGCGGAGGAAGGTCAGGAGCCGCCCCTCTGGGTCCTGATGAAGATGGTCAGGAGGACTTGTAGCCACAGACCGAGTCCCCAAGGTGCAGGGTTCTCCAAGCATCTGCTGGGCTGCAGGCCTGTAGCAGAGAGAGTCTCACATCCCTGGACTACCCTCTGAGCCATCAGAATGAGATGGGGGAGGGAGGAAGGATTGCTGGGTGGCAGCCACTGGAGGAGACAAGAACCCAACATTGTTGGGAGGGGTGCCCTCGGCCAAACTGGCCAGATGGGAAGATCAGGAGGTAGCCCCAGGCGGGGCTCTGGGAGAGGAGGCTGGGTGGGCACCCTCCTGAGCAGGGGAGCTCAGGGTGCCCCTGGTAGAAGTGGGCCCCTCCTCCCCTTCTCACACCAGACTCTCTCAGACTGAAACACACACAGAAAACCCTATGCTTTCAGGAGTGCTGTCCTGATGCCCAAGCCTGCTGGGCAGGGGTAGCAGCTCTATCCACCCCCCTCACAGCAGGGCCGGTGAGACTTGGGAGCCCAGGCTTCTCAGGGCTACCTAGTAGTGACTGGCTCCTGAGTGGAGCCCGGCAGCCTTCTGAAGGAGGCTGACGGAGGCTATTACCTCTGGGGCTCTTGGGTCTCCCCCTGGGACTGCCAGCAGCGCCACCCTCCTCCTTCTGACTCTTCCCTTCCCCAGCGGCCCTGAGGGCGCCTCCACCGCCCCCAGCCCCTCAGGGAGTTCGGAACCTGGTGTGTATTAAGCACCTACTTTGTGCTCAGCGGGCAGACCTTTGAAGAAGAGACGGGGTGGCGGGTGGGGGAAGCTCAGTAACAGTCCACAAACTTAGAGCTTCTTCCACTCCTCCAATATTCCTTAGGGCAGCCCAGACTTTGGAGTGGGATTGAGAGGGGGGGCCCGGAGTCCAGCGGGGAAGGGGCAGCTCCGCGGCCGAGGGTGGACAGGAAGGGCTTGTCTGGGGATGAGATGGTCACCCTAGCCGACGGCAGGACAGTGTAGGCCTGAGCTGTCACCGAGGACGAGTCCGGTGGGCTCGGGCTGGGCAGCGGGTCCCTGACAGCAGCGCGGCGGGGTGGGGGGTGTGCCTGGAAGGGTGGACCCGGCCGCCCCTCACGCTCGCCCGCCCGGCACCCCCCACCCAACCCCCCGCCGCGCAGACACAGGAGGCGCAGGTGCTGAAGCAGCTGGCGGAGCGGCGCGAGCACGAACGCGAGGTGTTGCACAAGGCGCTGGAGGAGAACAACAACTTCAGCCGTCTGGCCGAGGAGAAGCTCAACTACAAGATGGAGCTCAGCAAGGAGATCCGCGAGGCGCACCTGGCGGCACTGCGTGAACGGCTGCGCGAGAAGGTGCGCGCCCGGGCCTGGCCCGAGCAGGGGGCGGGGCGAAAGGCGGGTGGATCCGAGCAGGGGGCGGGGCCCGAAGCAGGAGGTCCCCAGGTGCTCCTTCCTTTGGCGGTGCCAGGCCACTGCACCACCAGCACTCCCACAGTCCGGCCTCCCCATGATTCCCTGTCCTGCTGGGGCCGGCTAGGGTGAGGGGAACCCCTGCCCAGGCCGGAGCCCCCTCCCTGCGAGTGGGACTGGGTTAGTGCCAGGGAGCCCCGCAGCCGGCACACCTGGGAAATCCCTTGAGCCACAACGCTCTGGTCTGGACACAACCCCAGACTCACTGAGGGCCAGCCCCCACCCTCAAGCCACACTTTCGGTTGGTGTCTCAGGCCTCTCCCTGCCCTGTGTTGCTCCTGGTCGCTAAGCGTGTCCTCATTGGTCGCATCTGCATCACCTCGGATCGAACTAGTCTAGGGAGGAAAGGACCCTAGAGTCCCCAAGCCGGGAGCGGGGGCGAGGGCAGGACACGCAGAGCCCAGGAGTACTGGGAGGGGCAGGACCCCGTCCCTCCCGGCTGCAGGGCCCCGCCCACCCCGCCTGTCCTGGCAGGAGCTGCACGCGGCCGAGGTGCGCAGGAACAAGGAGCAACGCGAGGAAATGTCCGGCTAAGAGGCCTTCTGGACTCCGCGACGCCTGGATCCCGAGATGAGACAGGAACACATCTGGGTTTCGGTTTTGTTTTGTTCGACTTTGTCTAGATGCAACTTTTGCTCCTGTTCCTCCCTCCCCTCCTGCCCTCCCAGCTTCAGCTTCTCTTTCCGCGCTCCGAGCTGTCTGGTCCTTGTGGCAAGGCTTTGACCACAGGCTCTCTCTGGAGGAGCCCCCAGGGCGTGGCACACGGTCCCTCAGTTCAGGCCCAAGCTGGGCAGCGGCTGGGTCCCCTCTTGGTAACCCTCTTAGCAGACGTGGTGGCGACCTCAATAAATCCAGCGATGGTGGCAGGAACACTCGGGTCCTTATGAGCACCTTGTCACTTAGGGCACGTCCTCTGAGCCAGCTCCGCCCGCAGGCAGAGGCACCACCACCTGCACGTACTCCCCTGGAAGAGGGGCTGGGCACGCGGGAGGGGGCAGAGGAGGAAAGACTTGAATGGAGGAGGACTCTGGGCAGTGGGGACCGGGTATCCAGTCACAGGCCAGCCTTGGGAGCTGCGTGTGCAGCGGTGCTTTCTGGAACTGGTGGGTAGGAGCTGCAGTGTGCTGTAATGTGGTGGCACAGGGGTCCTCAGAGACCCCTTGGCCTGAGGTTGGCACCCTTGGCTGTCCTGGGAACCTTCATTCATTGCACTTGGCTGGAGAGGTCACGGGGTGTGGTTTGGCCTGAGTCTTTAGGGGAGTGGGCCGGCTCCACTGGGACCGTGAGCAAACTGCTGTGGTCTAGAGGGCCGTGGGTAGCATGGCCACCCCTGCCGGCCCCTTCTCCCAGAAGGGCCTTCTTCTCTCTGGCACGGCGCCTCTGTGGGGACAGCCGGCCTCCCACTGTCCCTCCTTTCCTTCTTCAGGCTTTGCACCCTTGGAGGACCTGTCTGTAGAGCCCTTTAGAGTCCTAGCTCCCTCCTGTGTGCCCTCTTCTTTGTTTAAAAGATGCCCCTATCTGTTTCCAGCCACAGGGCTTTCAGGTGGCCAGGTGGGGGAGGGTGGCAGCCCCAAGTGCCCCTCTGGGAGCCCTAAGTAGATATTAGGGGATAGAGGACCAGTGTCTGAAGTTTCAGATGTTGGAGGGCAAGGGTCAGGGTTCCTCAAGCTGCCTCCCCACCTGCCCCATCTTTCCATTTCTGGCTGGTGACCCCCTCTGGCTAGCCTGCAGATTGGAGGCCTGACTTTAGGCCTCTCCTGCCAAGACCCTCCTTGGCTGGGTTCCTTCCCCTCCCTCAGCCTGGTCCAGACCCCCCGGTGCTGGCCTTTGAGGATATGGCAGCAGCCTCCCCTTTTCCATGCAGCCCCAGCCCCACGGTTGGATGCTTGAGGGCCAAGTCCCTGCTGGCCAACCACTTGGTGGAAAGTGTGAGGAGATTCTCGCAGGAAGGACTCAGAGCCGGTGCCACAGAGGCCAGATGGCAGCCCTCAGTGCCCCTGGCTTTCATTCCACAGAAACCCACAGTGTCACTGCTGGTGGCCTCCCAGAGCCAAGCCAGAGAGCACAGGCAGGTAGTGACCCCTGCAGTGGGCTTGGGGAAAGTTGGGACCTGTGCTCACCCCTCTGTCCCCACCAAGACAGCCCTAGAGGGAGTGACAAGCAGGATTGGAACCCATCAGGTTGGGACCCATCGGTGCCCACAGGCAGCTTCTGTGGACTCAGAAAGGGGAGCGGAAAGAGGACTAAGGGTGGGATTTCTCTGAGCCACGGCAGCTCTCTCGTAGCAGAAGCCCTAATGTCATACACACCCATCTCATCCACGTAGTGAAAGTGAACTTAAAAATGAACAATTAAAAAAAAATGTGTGTTTAAGAAATGGTTGCACTGTCACAGTGTGTCCTGCAGCTGTGGGGTTGCTCGCTGCCTGTGCATCAGTGAGAAAGCCAGCTCTATCCTGCTGGAAACCCCAACCTTGGGTATTATCATAACTGTGAGTCGTTCTTGTGACAATGGCAATTTTAAGAAAGAAGCACAGAAACAGCATACATGCCAACTTTCACCTCTGGAGACCCAGGAGTTGGTGGAGGCAGAGGGAGGATGCTGCCCTGGCTCCCCCAGGGCTGAGTCTTCCTGCGGGCCAGGCTCTCAGGTTGCCACCGTGGGGTCGGAGTTGCCTTCTCACCATGGCTGTGGGTCTCGCTCAGGCCGGGAGGGTGGTCCTGGAATCCCAGGGTGTGCCCCGTGGCTCTGTGGGCCCTGCTGGGCAGCTTATGGTTCACAGACACATATCTGGCCCTCACGTGGGGACCTGGAGTGGCACAAAGGGACCAAGTAGATATCCTAACTCACACTGGTGGACATGACTGTACTCCATGACCTGAACTGCCACATGGGGTGCCCGGCAGGGACCCCTCAGAATCTGAGGAGATGGCATGTTTGGTAGATGTCCACACTGGACCGAAGACACAGATTCTGGAGAGATGCCTGCTCCCCGGGACCCAGAGAAACCCATTCACCTCTCCCCTCACCCACCGCCCTCTCCTGGGGCAGTCCTGCTACTTCCCCAGGCTCCACGGAGCTCTCACCATTTCCCCTCCATCCCCTGCCCAGGGAGAGGTGGGGAAAATCGGAATCCAGGACACACAGCCTCCAGTAAAGTGGAGACATCAGAAATCTGCAGGAGCAGAAAGAAATACATTGAAAATACTTTTAGGAGGTGTGAGTTGTGCGTGCCTGTCATCTGGGTTCACAGGCACATGCTTGCCAACATGGCCCTGGAATTCTCAGAGAAGCAGCTGATCACAGGTCAGGGTTTCTTACCCCTTCGGGGGCTCTGGTAAGGCATTGAGAGGCAGTCACCACATGGAACCTCTGACATGAGGATATGATGGGGAAGCCTTCCCAGAAGAGCAATCACACTTTAAAAATTTTTAATTGGAGGATAATTGCTTTACAGTATTATGTTGGTTTCTGTCACACATCAACATGAATCAGCTATAGGTATGCATATACCCCCTCCCTCTTGAACCTCCCTCCCACCTCCCACCACATCCCACCCTTCTAGGTGGTATGAGCCCAAGTTTGAGTTCCCTGAGCGATCACGCTTCTTAACAGAGAAGCATAGGTGGGACTCATTCTGGGGAGGAGTTAGAGCTGTACTTAGTACCTATTGCTGTGAAACAAATGAGTCCAAGCAGTGGCAGAGGACAAGAAACATCCCTTCAGTCTCTTGTCAAGTCAGGAACTCAGGAGCCAGGTCATTCTAGTGTGGGGCCTCTCAGGAGGCTGCAGTCAGGACAAGGGTGGAGGCCCTGGCTGTCTGGAGGCTGCCTGCAGCAGGAGCACCCACTTCCAGATTGGCTGGCTCACATGGGTGCTGGCGGGAGGCCACCTCACCTCACTGAGACTGTCCACCGGCCTGCCTGAGCAGCCTCACGACTTGGCAGCTGGTCCCTGGGGCAGCTGCACGAACTAGAACTAGCTGTGGAAGCAGAAATGAGTCACGAAGAACAGCCCACCCTGGGGTGGGGGTTGGGGTTAGGCTCCCCTTTGGCAAGTGGGAATGTCAAAGACCCCACGGACAGGTTCCAAACCACCTGACACTCTGCCTCCAGGACCCTGTGAGTTCTGGACACAGAGGGAGCTGCCTGGTGCCTGGGGGCGGCAATGGAACAGGGTGTGCAAAAGGCCATGTGGGCTGGAAGTGCAGAGGCCATCCCCAGTGGGCCTCCCTCCAGCCCCTCACACGTCCCCCCAGCCCAGCGAGCTGCGTAGGACAGAGGGCAGGGTCGGCACCTACACGCTGCTTCTCTTCCTGCTGAGGAAAAGTGACTGTGCTCTTCAGCAGCTGTGTTAGTCTTCTAGGATGCCTTCAGTGTGCCACAACCAGGGGCTTGAAGCCTCAGAAGTGCCTCCTTTCAGTTGGAAGTCAGTTGTTGCCTGGCAGGGAGGGGAGGGAAAGCAAGGACAGGGCCAGCCTCCAGCTCCCAGACTTGGCTGTTGGGAAACGCGCAGTCTCTCCAACCCCCGCAGGGCTACTGAAGAACAGGCTTGGGCCTGGACCACTTGTCATCAGACAGGGGCCCACAGAGCCTGTGTGGGGGCCCCTCCTGCTGTGAGACGGTTGTGTCCCCAGCACTCAGCATGTTGGGAAGGGGACAGGTCCAAGAGGGGTGCTTGCAGCCCGGCTGGCGGGCAGGACCCAGCTTGCGGACAACTCCCCTGCACAGCTGGCCTGGCCTCTTTTTTCCTGAGTGAAGCCCAGCTGCCTTGAGCTCTCCGTGGTGACTTGAACTCTGGGAAGGAAGTGTTTGGATTTCCACCCCCAGCGAGTGGCTGGCGTTCTAATGAGCCGGGGACTCCCTAGGGATAGGGAACTTGAGCTGGAGCTCTGCTGGATACCAGCTATCCTTGGCTTATGGATACATTACTCAGGTCTTTGCCTCTCCCTGGGTGTCTGTCTTACAGGACATCACTGTCTGAATTCGGGGCCCCCACTCCAAGATGGGAGCTTGCCTGGTGGCTCAGATGGTAAAGAATCTGCTTGCTAATGCAGGAGACCTGGGCTTGATCCCTGGGTCACGAAGATCCCCTGGAGAAGGGCATGGCAACTCACTCCAGTATTCTTGCCTAGAGAATCCCATGGACCAAGGAGTCTGGCAGGCTATAGTCAATGGAGTCGCAGAGTCAAACACAACTGAGATAGGAACACACATACAGACTTCAACATGACCTCATTATTTAACTAATTACACTTGCAACCACCCTAGTTTCAAATGAGATCACATTCTGAGGGCCTGAGACCTGGGATGTCAACACATCTGTGGAGGACACAATTCAATCAGACAGCAGTTGCAATTATGTAACTGGTAACTTTAAAACATCCATGCACTAATTTGTATATTCAACACGAGTTAAGTGCATGTTTATTGCGTGTGTCTGACTCCAGAATAGTGATGGATTTGAAGACCCAGCCCCTCCCTGTGAGAACCTACATGTTATTCAATAAAACCTTACATACAGGTGGTAATTTATGATTTTGCAAAGCATGTTTTTAATCTTCACAAAGTCTACTTTGGGGAAAATAAGAGTAGATATTATCTCATGACAATGTTTTTTTCTGGTTACAAACATAATGTTCCCTGTATCACTGCAAAGTATAAAGACAAAAATCTTGATCCCCTAAACTCCTTACCCTGGAGAGGACTACCCTTCCAGCGGTGTTGAAGGGATCCCAGCTCAGACCTCTGAGACACGCCCACAGTGACGTCTGCACCTTTCCTGTCCTCATACATATCACTTCAAGCGCCAGACAATCATCTATTTCATGGATGTACTAGGAATTTTGAGAAAACTTCCCCAAGTTTTTGGCTTCAGTGAACTCTTACAACGTTACAAATTTAGAGGCCCCCCCACCAATAAAGAGCTGTTTATGTGGGCTTTATGAGTCAATGGGGACCACACTGAGAATTAAAACCGAGAAATTTAAAAAACAGTAATTAATTTAGAAACTATACTAAAGACCTGGATGAGATGGTTGGATGGCATCACCGACTCAATGGACATGGGTTTGGATAGACTCTGGCAGTTCATGATGGATAGGGAGGCCTGGTGTGCTGAGGTTGATGGGGTCACAAAGAGTCAGACACGACTGAGCAACTGAACTGAACTGATACACCTGTCACACATTAACATCTTAAAATGAAAAACAAAAAAATAAAGTTAAAAACAATGACAGTTTCCTAAAAAAAAGAATCAGTGAGAATGGTTGAAGCATATGAGAAAATCTAGCCTCACATAGACACACGGTTGGAAAAAGTATATTTTAACATCTTGGTCTTTATACTAAATGAGGGATAGTTTCTTAAAAGTTGGCTGCAGAGTGAATCTGAAACCGTATCAATAAACTTCATACTCTTACATTGGATAGAGTGGTGTGTACTGAGCTTGAATACAACTTTCACCCACACACAGTTCTGTAACACCCAGTGCTGCCCTACCCCAGGCAGGAAGTGCTGGACCCTGGGGCTGTCAGGCTGGCCGAGTGGAGGAGGGAGGGGACAGGACTTGTTGGGTTAGCCAGCCCGTCATGGTCCTGTCTTCCATTTGGTCAAGGGCTGTGTGGTGGAGCTGAACTGAAGCACAGGGCTTGGCAACCGCACAGCATTCTTGGGCCTGTTGATCACTCTTTCATAGGTTTATTCTCCTCTGCAGGCAACCAAGAGTGGAAGCTCCCATCCCCATGGGAGTCCAGGGGAGAAAGCACCACCCCAACCCCTAGCCAGGAGGAACTAGTCCATCCCGCCAGCCAAGCAGAGCCCAGCACTTCTGTTCAAATGTCAGGTGTCAGGTTCTGTAGCAGACATACACTGAGGCCCTGCAAATTCAGACAGGAGAGTTTAGGGTGCCCACAGACTTCAAAGCTGGCAGCCACAGCTCACCTGGCCATGCAGCAGCAGGACTTGGCCTGGTCCCTGCCCTCTGCATCTTCTGAACCCCTCCCTTTGATTTTATTAGCAGCCACTTTAGAAACGTGAGGACAGGGAAACTCAAATACAGATCATGAGAACCCGCTTCTGTATTTACCAGGTGATAAAAAAGCATTGACACAGGCTCAACAGTTTTAATCTTTACAAACAGTGACTTTTTCATCACTGGCCCGAGTACACTCTACGTGACTGAAAATAGAATGAAAGTGTAACTCTCCAGATTATAACATCACCAAAATGAAGGTGGCCTGAAAATTTCCTGGCCTGGGAAATGG